AATATGTTGATTTAGTTATTTATATTAAATTGATTTTTATTTATATTTAGATAATTTATATTTGATTTTATGTTTAGGAAATTTTAGTTAATTAAGCTTAAACTTTTAGAATTTTGTTTATTGTAATTAAATATTAATTAATTATATATTTATATATACAAAAATTTACATTTTGAAATAGATTGATGGGGAATGAAAATCTTGTAGGAAATAGGGATCTCCACCAAGATAGAGACTGGGAATGAGACCAAAATTCGTCCCCTATCAAAAAATTCCCACAATAAGGGTAAGACCGAGAAGGGATTCCCCAACTCTGCAAACCCCGTTGCCACCCTAGCCTTAATTAGATGAGATCATTAAATTTGACTTGAAATATAACATTTACCATCATTTTTTCCATTTTATTAGGTGTATTCATTGTTCACTGAATTTGGATTTAAATCCCGTATTTGTCAAATTTGTACGCTCTTTTGACCCTGAATTTTTTTTTTTTAATTTCATATTTTATGACATTTGTATCCCCTAGGAGATTGTCTAAACTAGTACTCGTAAGAAGAGTTTAATTTCCGAACTTGGGATGAGTTTATGGGTATTCAAAGAAAAAATTAAGTAACTACTTTTACCGAATAATTTATTATTAATTAATATACCAAAAAAGTTACTATAATCTCAATATTCATTCAATTAGTTCATCAAAAAAAGTATTCATTCAATTATGTGAAACAAGTTATCCGTTAAAAATAACAATAATAATGCAATTATTTGAAACAAGTCATCCGTAAAATATATATAAGAACATATACACAACTGTTCAGGGAAACACAAAACTCAAACGTAAATTTCTTATATTTTTTTTTTATAATTATTTTCTTAATAAATAACATTTTTTTATATATATTTTTGTCAAAGTGTTTTTTTATCAACTTTTTTAATATATCTAGATATTAATATTTTTTTTGATATTGTGATTCTAAAACATAAATTTTAAATATAAAATAATATTTATTTATCAATAAATGTAACATTTAAAGTTAATACATAACCATCATCCAGCTATACAAATAGAAAATAACTTACCATACAAACGTTGCGTTTTCTCAAGTTTAATTAATAAGACAAAGGGCAGATTTCGATCAAGTAATTAAAACTAGAGAGAGGATGATAGAAAGGCTAAATTATTTATAAAAATGTTTGTTTAACTTGCATTTTAAAGGTGTAATAAATATATTTTTTATAATAAATTTATAAGTGGAGTTATTGTCACATTTTAAATAGTTAATATCAAATATTTATAATATGATTATCTATTATACCCTTATATTATGTTTTTTTCTCAAAAACTTATTTTTTGTTTCTTAATAAATTAAAAGGTATAACGATCAATTAAAATAAAAGGCCGTGGCATTAGTAATTAAAGATATGGCAATAACATCATCTTAAATTTATATAAAAAATTATAAAAGTTGATATTTATTTTAATCATACGGATACATGATTAATTTTAATTAATTAATTAAACTTAAATTAACATTTTCACTTTTAATAAAAATTAATTATAAAAAATATATTAATTACATTTTAACCTGTATCTTAA